TAGAACAAAATGGAGGACTATCCGGAACAAAATGGAGGAGTATCCAATTTGCCATAGCTAGAACAAAATGGAGGACTATCCAGAACAAAATGGAAGAGTATCCAATTTGCCACTGCTAGAACAAAATGGAGGACTATCCAGAACTTGGCCTTAGGAAGACCTCAAGGAACCTGAGGTTCTCCAGATGTTAGCAGCTGGGGAACATTCAGAGCAATAACCCCAATATATGAGGAAGAGATCATGCTTTTCCATTCTTCGTTTCTGCTGTAGTCAATGAACATGTTGATGTCTGGCATCCCAGATGTTTTTGAGAGGACCATCGCTTACTCACTGGAGGGAGGTTCAACAGAGAGACAACAACTTCCAGACGTCCCAAAGGTGCTTTGAAGACATTTTACTTCTCATCCAGGAAGCTTCTTCAGCTGTGACTGGATGGTGGGGAATGGAAGGACGTCTTCAAAGAAAAACTCCAGTGGCCTCGTGAAAAAGGACCTTTGGGACAACCATGACCTGGATGACTGAGACTCTCCATAGATAACAACTTCCAGACCATCCCACCATGTTTTTGAGCTGGAGAGGGTTCAGTTCAATTCACCTCACCCTGCAATCTCAGTAGCTTATCTGTTGCGCCACACAGAAGCTTCAAAACAGGCCTGGACTTCCTTCCATCCACCATCCCCTTCCACTCCTGCTCTTAAGGCTGGATATCCTATAGCTGGCTCAAGTGGGATTTCCTCTTGAGTAAACACGAGGAGGAATGCACCGTTCACCCAGCTGTGCTTTGCACAGATCCCTCCCTCAGACCCAAGTTGCTTCTTATCTGCACTGTTGCCTCCAACAACACGCCCAAGGATCGAAGAGTTATGATCATGGCACTGTGGCAGTCCATAAAAAGCCCAGATAAGAGGATCAGTCAAAGACAGATAAGGATGGACAACACCCTACTTTCCATGAAGTTTATGAAGCCGGGATTAGTCGTCAGAGATAAAGCAAAGGCCAAGTTAACGGGAGCCACGGGGAGAGTCAACTCCACACACAGCCAAGGTTGGGGAGATAGTTCCATCCCTCAGAGTTCCTCTTTCACAATCCCACCCTCCACGGTCGAGAGAAGATCAGACAAAACAACAGGTGCTGTTTACCTCCACAAAGACCAAGGAGATGGTGAAATTTATTTTCAAATGCTGAAGGAAGAAAAGCCCTGGCGGTAGTGGAGCAGTTTTTAAACATCCCTAGTTAAGAGGTCTGTTTTGAGGTAAGGTTAAAAAAACAAAATAAAACTCAGTGTAGAGGAAAGATTAGTGCAATGTTTTCTTTTCTGCCTCATCAAAACCTTTCTAAAGGCAAACCAGTTCCCAGGTCAATCACTTCACTCAAAATCTGTACTGGCTGTTTCCCTGAAGACATTTGCCTAAATGCTAAAAGACCGTCAATCCTGGCCTGGACCAACCAGTCCGTTCGGGGGTTGTTAAAAAGGACAGAAATAACTCTCGGAGAAAGCACCTGACGACAGTTACCTAAAGCACCATGTAATCCCAGGACAGGAAAAGAATATTAGAAAAGACGCTTAAACCGGCTCCATTTTAACTCTCTTTGGTACGGGTAGTTCTCGACAGTTCATTCAGTGACTGATCGAAGTTACAACGGCACTGAAAAAAGTGACTTATGGCCATTTTTTCACACACACAACCTCGGCAGGGGGACGCTGCAACCATTATAAATATGAACTGATTATTAGAATATATATATTAAATAAAGTAAGAATGTATATTTNGAGTCGACCTCTGTCCCCCTGCCAATACAGACTGCGTACGGTCGGTGAGGAAGGAGGAGAACCACCGCATCACGGTGCCTCCCACTCCCAACCCACCCAACCGCCGCAGCATGATACTGTGGTCCACAGTATCAAAAGCCGCTGAGAGGTCCAAAAGAACAAGGACAGAGGAACAACCCCTGTCCCGGGCCCTCCAGAGGTCATTGGATTAATAGGTTTATTTACATGAAAATTATTATATAATGGAATGAACAAAAATGAAGAGATGTTCGGGATTTGAACGAATAATTAATTGAATGTGATTCTAGTAAGATGATGTGCTTTGTTTGATAATATGGATATTAGTGGAAGAAGGAATAAGATTTATGATGAAGTCAAAGAATTAGGATATATTTGGAAGGGATACTTTAACTGATAATGTGTGTATTTATAGTTAAATTTGATTATGGTTTTGTAATTGCATAAAGCTCTAAAACAGGTCTAGGTTTAATAGAAATTTAAATTAGAAATAGACTATTTTAAATATATAAGCTACTTGAGGGAAATAGAGAGGGAATATTTGATGTATTGATTGAGCTACTTATACTGTATATGTTTTGTTTTTGAATTTTTGATTGCCCCAACACCACGGTGTGTCTCGAGCACTTTGTATTAAGAACTAAAAAAAACAATAAAATTTGTTTAAAAAAAATAAAAAATAAATATGAACCACTTCCCAAGGATCCAAATTCTGACCATTTTTCACACTTATGACCACTGCAGCACCGCCATGGTCACATGATTTATTTTCAGATGTTTGACAAACTGACTCACACTTATGGCGGTTGTAACGTCCTGGGGTCATGTGATCACCTTTTGCGACCTTCTGACAAGCAAAGTCAATGGGGAAGCCAGATTCACTTACTAATTTAAATAGCTGCATTGATTCAATCAACAAAGAAAAGCTGTAAGAACAATGGGCAAAACTCAGTTAACAAAATTCTCACTTAGCAACATAAATTTTGGGCTCAATTGTGGTCGTAAGTCGAGGACTACCTGTATAAGAAAGAGGGGAAGTGGAAATGGCATCCGGCTTTCGAGTTCCTGTTATTATAAAAAGGGAAAGGTTTTCCTATCAGTCATGTCCGACTCTAAGGCACGGTGCCCATCTCTGTTCGTTGACTGAGGGAACCAGTGTTGTCTGAAGACAATTAGCTTGTCTCAATAAAAAATAAATTGGGGCTCCAATAAATTTTACAGAATCTGTTTCCTGACCTGGATTACCTTTTATCCTACCTAACTGGGATAAAAGAGAAGGGAAGTGAAGAAGAAGAAGAAATTATATGCCAGCCAACCAATGTAATGACCCCCTTGGTCAACATAGACAGTTTGAGGGAGACCAAATCATAGAAGATGATTTGAAAAGAGAGGTAAGAACGTGGTCAGCCAAGCATCATTAAGCCATGGTGGCACAATGGTTAGAATGCAGCATTGCAGGCTTCCAAGATCAGTAAAAGGAGGACCCAGATTGTTGGGGGCAATAAGCTGACTCTGCAAACTGCTTAGAGACGGCTGTAAACCACTATGAAGTGATATATAAGTCTAAGTGCTATTGCTACTGCCCTTCCTTCCTTCCTTCCCTTCCCTTCCCTTCCCTTCGCTCTGAGTGGTTGGAATGCAGCATTGCAGGCTAACTCTGCCCACTGCCAGGAGTTCAATCCTGACCGGTTCAAGGTTTGACTCAGCCTTCCATCCTTCTGAGGTAAAATGAGGACCCAGATTGTTGGGGGCAATAAGCTGACTCTGCAAACTGCTTAGAGATGGCTGTAAACCACTATGAAGTGGTATATAAGTCTAAGTGCTATTGCTACTGCCCTTCCTTTCTTCCCTTCCCTTCCCTTCCCTCTGAGTGGTTGGAATGCAGCATTGCAGATTAACTCTGCCCACTGCAGGGAGTTCAATCCTGACCGGTTTAAGTTTTGACTCAGCTTCCATTCTTCTGAGGTAAAATGAGGACCCAGATTGTTGGGGGCAATACGCTGAGTCTGTAAACCGCTTAGAGAGCGCTGTAAAGCACTATGAAGCGGTATCTAAATCTAAATGCTCTTGCTATCCCAAAGCTGCTTTTTTCCCCCCAAAAGGCAACTAGACTCCCTTGGGTTTTTTTTTTCCTTTGAGAATATTTCGCTTCTCATCCAAGAAGCTTCTTCCATCAGCCAAGCATCCATCCTTCTCATGTCCCTTGAAGAAAGAGCTCAAAATTTGGATTCCCTCTTTTTAATAGAACGTCACTTCTTTTGGCTTGCAATCCCAAACTGCTGTGATTTCAGTATAAGGTCAGCTGATCGAAATTCAGCACAGCCATATCTGGAAGAGACTGGACAGCCATTTGTCCGAAATGGTATAGGGTTTCCTGCCTGAGCGGGGGTTGGACTAGATGACCTCAAAGGTCCCTTCCAACTTTACTATTACTATTACTATTACTATTATTATTATTATTATTACCATCTCTGGCAAATCCAGAAAAGTGACAAGGAGGGAAACGGAGGGGCCATCTACAAGCTTACCTTAAGCCGGTAATTGGCTACCGCAAGGTAGAATACGTAGTCCCGTTGTTCTTCTTTGTTTCCCTTGGGCAACAGTTCTAAAAATAAATAAATAAATAAATAAATAAAAGGCAAAGGGGAAGAAAATGGATGTACGTGGCTTTCTAATACAGGTAGTTCTCAACTTACAACAGTTCACTTAAATGACCGTCCGAAGTTACAATGTCAATGAAAAAAAAAGTGACTTACGACCAACTTTCACACTTAACGACCTTAGGCAGTGGGACACTGCAACCAGCAATTGCCAAGGATCCAAATTTTGATCACGTAACTGAGAGAATGCTGCCACAGTCGTGTTAAAAAAAAAAGGGTTCACAAGTCACTTTTTTCAGTGCTATTGCAACTTTGAACGGTCACTAAACGTTGTAAGTCGAGAACTATCTGTATGTGATGAAATTAAACGTACTATGAAGGAGGAGGAATTTTTGCCTCCCCTGTTTTTCCAACAGCAGAGCTGAATCCTTGAGGAATTAAGACACACACTGGCCCTGCACACAGACATCACACAAATTGAGCCTCCAGGTTCAAGAGTATTTTTAAAGGGAGGTACTATATTTTTAGGCAGTTGGATTCTCAGCCATTACCTTGGATGGCTGCTAAATTACAAGTGCCGTGGCGCATTTGGGCCGCAGAATCGGTGGGCTAGCACGCACACATGCAGTTCCACTTGCACGAGCAGCAGGCGAGCACCTGCGCGAAGCTCCATTTGTGCAAGCGGTGGGCGCACGTGTCCGCTGCTCGTGCGGATCCATCCCCTCTTTCTCTCCTCCCTCCACCAGTCCGCAAAGCCAGAAAGATTGGGGGACCGCTACTTTAGTCCACCTGAATCTAGCTACTGAGGTTAGTTAGGACAATCCTTTGGCAAAATAAATAGTGTTTTCCTTCAAAATGTGGAAGAATACATTCAAGAAGCACAACTCAGTATTTAAAATGCTTCCCCCAAAATTCCAAAAGAACTAGCAATTTTATTTTTTTTAAAAAAGGTTGGTTTAATAGCAACAGAGAACGCTGACTCTTACGAGTCTTATTTGTGTTTCCTATATATCCTGGTAGAGACTTTTTAAGGTCAACCTCTTATTTTAAAGTCCACATCATTCAAAAGTAAATACGGTGAGGCTCATAAAATTAAAAGCCAAATGTCAGTCATCCTTGAAAAAGGAAAAAGTGCCCGCTGCTGGGAGTCAAACATTGATATTTTTTCTGAAAGAGGACCTTGCTTGACACGTATCAGTTAGGAAACTATATTCTTCACAAATTAGATGTTTCTACCAGACTAGAATCTTTTTCTACAATAATTTTTGGCCCCGGTTTCTAAAAGAGGCAAGCGTCTCCAAACTGACAGCCTTCGGTTTGGTGGAGGAGTGGTACAAGTAGTCCTCAACGTACGACCACAACTGAGCCCAAAATGTATGTTGCTAAGTGAGAAATTTGTTAAGTGAGTTTTGTCCCATTTAATGACTTTTCTCACCCCATTTGCTAAGTGGATCACTGCAGCTCTTAAATCATGATTGTTGAGTGAATCTAGATTCCCCCATCGAGTTTGCTTGTCAGATGTTTGCAAAAAAGGATCACATGATTCCGGGACACGGCAACCGTCATAAATGTGAGTCGGTTGTCAAGCATCCGGATGTAAATCACGTGATCATGTGGGGGATGCTGCAATGGTCGCAAGTGTGAAAAATGGTCACAAGTCACTTTTTTCAGTGCTGTCGTAACTTCAAACGGTCACGAAATGAACTGTTGTAAGCCAAGGACTACGTGTATAAGGATAATCATTATATAGAGAGCAAATAGGTTCAGAGACGTCAGTCCCACCAGACAGAGGAGATCACTGAGGACTAGGAACATGCTAAGGTTTAAATGAAGTGTTGTAAGCCAAGGACTACTTGTATAAGGATAATCATTATAAATAGAGCAAATAGGTTCAGAAAGGTCAGCCACCAGACAGAGAGGAGATCATTGAGGACTAGGAACATGCTAAGATTTAAATGAACTGTTGTAAGTCAAGGACCACATGTACAACTCCCCAAATGAACATGGTCAGTTCAGCTGGAGAGTGGAAAAAGCTCTTAAGCTTCCTACCACTGCAGTGTAGTGTGTCATGTTTGAAAGATGACACACTAGATCAGTGGTTCTCAACCTTTTTAATGCCGCGACCCCAACTGGTCGTAAGTCGAGGACTAAACCGGTCATAAGTCGAGGACTAAACCAATTGTAAGTCGAGGACTAAACCGGTCGTAAGTCGAGGACTACCCAACCAGTCGTAAGTCGAGGACTTTCCCTGCCCGGGAGCGCCGCGCATGCATGGTTCCGCCCCCTGCGCCAGCCAAGGCGTAGCTGGCAAGCGGCAGAGACTGAGCAGGCCGACCACCAGCTGGCCCAGCCCAAGGGAGGTAAGGCACCCGCCGGAAAAGGGGGAAAAAATGGCGGACAAAAAAAATGGCGGACAAAAAAATGGCGGACAGCCTTGCTTGGCGACCCCCATGAAATGGTCGATAGACCCCAAATGGGGTCCCGACCCACAGGTTGAGAACCACTGCACTAGATTGTCTGTACTGTACATTTTTTTCCCCATAACTGCCCTATTCCCTTTCAATCCTCTGCCGTATCTCTAAGGCCTAACAGGTGAAAGACAACATTCATCTTATGAAAGGAAATACGGGGATTTATTCTTAAGAAAGAGTTTCGTAAGGGAGATCAAGGGTGCCACTTTGCAGCTGGCCTAAGGCTCACCTTCCAAAAGTACAATGCCCTTTTTGATGTCCTCATTGTATTTGCTGCGGACCAGGCACCAAGCATACTCGAATTGTGTTCCTCTGGAGACGTTGCCTGCGCTTTGCTCAGAATTGAACTTCTTCTCGAATCTCTGGAGAACAGAAAAGAGAAAGGCTAGATGGAGGGTAAGGATGGATGGATGGACGGCAAGGACGCCCACCCTCAAAACTGCAATTGCCAGTGCCCATGAATGCCCCAAATCATCAATTCCACACAAATGTAGGAAGTTTCCTTACATTGCTTATATAATTGGTCTATTGTCCTCATTACAGCAGGTTTTCTAGCAAGATCTCTCTCCTTGCTTTAAACGAGAGCCTCCTGCAACATGATCCCTTCTAGCTGTGATTTGTTAAGTGAACCCATCATCTTCAATGCTGGCCAGGCTAGAAGAAACTGCTGGAAATCCCATCCTGGGAAAGGCTGCACTACTAGAAATAGACTAGCACAAATTTATGTTTAATTTGTGTTTTCCGGCTGGGTGAGAATTAAGTCGTTTACCAAAAGGAAAGATGATAAACCTACTGGAAAAATCAGCCTTATTTTATCGATTGTATATAGCAGTGGTGGCGAACCTATGGCACAGGTGCCAGAGGCGGCACTCAGAGCCCTCTCTGTGGGCACGCGCGCCGTCGCCCCAGTCCTAGGCCTTCAGCTGGGTTTTATAAAACCTTTTTGCTTTAGGCCTCCGCCACAGTGTGAAAAAAAAAAGAAGGTTCAATCAGTCAATTTCAACTTCTCGCGGGAAAAAAAAAGATCTTGCAAAGTTGGAATTGATTGATTGAACTTTTTAGTCCCACCCAGTTTGCCGTTACCACCGCAGCCATGCCCACCCAATGGACCACGCCCATCCAATTGGCCACACCCAGCCATTGGGCCACACCCACCCGGCACTCGACGATGCATAAGTGGGTTTTGGGTTGCAGTTTGGGCACTCGGTCTCTAAAAGGTTCGCCATCACTGGTATATAGGTAGTGCTCAACTTACAACCATTCATTGAGTGACCAATTGAAAGCCGCAACGGGACTGACGAAACTGACTTATGACTGCTTTTCACCCTTACGACAGTTGCAGCATCCCCACATGGTCACGGGATCAAAATTCAGACACTTGCCAAGTGACTCCTATTTATGATGGTTGCAGTGTTCCAGGGACCACGTGATCACCTTTTGTGACCTCCTGACCAGCAAAGTCAATGGGGAAGCCAGATTCACTTAACAACCGTGTGACTAGCTGCAGTGATTCACTTAACAATGGTGGCAGGCAAGATCGTAAAATGGGGCAAAACTCACTTAACAAATGTCTCATTCAGCAACCGAGGTTTTTGGCTCAATTGTGATCGTAGGTCGAGGACTATCTGGTACAGTAAATCTTATTTGGGGGGATAGCATCGCTTCTCATGTAAACTATGGTGTTTACAGGAATGTCTGGTAGTCCGTCATTCATTCCTACGTACAGATAATCCTCAACGTACGACCGCAATTGAGGCCAGAATTGATGGTGCTAAGTAAGAAATTTGTTAAGTGAGTTTTGCCCCATTTGACGACTTTTCTTGCCCCATTTGTTAAGTGAAACACTGCAGTTCTCAAATTAGGAACATGGCTGTGAGGTGAATCTGGCTAACTTTGCTTGTCAGAAGGTCGCAAAACGGGATCACATGACCCATGGGACACCTCAACCGTCATAAATGTGAGTCAGGTTGTCAAGCATCCGAATGTAAATCACTGTGACCGTGGGGATGCTGAAAACGGTCATAAGTGTGAAAAATAGGCGTAAGTCGTTTTTTTCAGTGCCGTTGCCACTTCAAACAGTCACTAAATGAACTGTTGTAAGGTGAAGACTTGTCTGCATTAATCCTAGGTTGTCATGAAGATCAAGCAAGATGAACAGAGATAAATTCTTTGGCACTGTCATCCATCTGTAAGTTTCCCCAAGATATGCCGGCTGGAACTATTGTATGTTTACAGTGTGGGGTTCTCAACTCAGAACAAGTCTATGGAGATTCTCAGTCCTCCAGGTCCTGGTTGTCCCATAAGTGCTTTTTTCAGGAGGCAACTGGACTTTCTTGTTTTTCTTTGAAGACGTTTTGCTTCTCATCCTAGAACAGGGGTAGGCAACCTTGGCTCTTTTATGACTCGTGGACTTCAACTCCCAGAATTCCTGAGCCAGCCATGCTGAGGCGAAAGGGAGAGGTTTCCAAGCTGAGCCATGCTGGCTCAGGAATTCTGGGAGTTGAAGTCCACAATTCATAAAAGAGCCAAGGTTGCCTACCCCTGGACTAGGCCTAGGCCACTTTCTGACTCTTGGACTTCAGCTCCCAGAATTCCTGAGCCAGCGTGGCTCAGCTTGGAAACCTCTCCCTTTCCCCCTCAGCATGGCTGGCTGGCTCAGGAATTCTGGGAGTTGAAGTCCACGAGTCATAAAAGAGCCAAGGTTGCCTACCCCTGGCCTAGAAGCTTCTTCAGCTCTGACTGGATGGTGGGGAATGGAAAGATTTATACTTCTTGCAGACAGCTGGTCACTTGCCTTCTTTCAGAGAGTCGTTGAGGCCACCTGGAGGTTTACCTGTGTCCTCAGTTGTCTCAAAGGTGCTTTTTTGAGGAGGCAACTGGACTTTCTTGTTTTTCTTTGAAGAGCTTTCGCTTCTCATCCAAGAAGCTTCTACGGCTCTGACTAGGTGGTGGTAAATCCTTCCAAATCCTTCCATTCCCCACCATCCAGCCAGAACCGAAGAAGCTTCTTGGATGAGAAGCGAAACATCTTCAAAGAAAAACAAGAAAGTCCAGTTACCTCCTAAAAAAACATGTTTGGGACAACTCAGAACAAAGGATTCTCAAAAAGAGGGTTCAACTGGACAGGCCTTCCCAGCGAGAGACCCAAGCTGTGCTAAAACATGGCCCACTGAATTTCTGCCTCTACAGGTAGTCCTTGAGTTATGTCTACAACTAAGCCCAACCTTCCCACTGCTAAGCAAGGCAGCTGTTGCGTTGCGCCCTATTGTACGACCTTTTTTTTCTTGCCACGGTCGTTAAGCAAATCGCTGCAGTTGCTAAGTGAATCATGCCGTTAAGATGCTTTTCTGAAAAGGCAACGAGACTTCGTTTTTTCCTTTGTTAGGAAAAAGAAAGTGCCGCTGCCTTTGGGAAAAAAAGGATCTTTGGGAGAAGCACGGCCTGGATGACTGGGTGTCTCCATAGACATGGGGCCGTTAAGCGATTCTGGTTTCTCCCATTGATTTTTTTGCTTGTCAGAAGACAAGTGGGAAGGTCGCAAATGGCGATCACCTGGCTCCGGGATACTGCAATTTGTCATAAATATGAATCGGTTGCCAGGCGCCTGGCTTTTGTTCATGTGGCCGTGAGGATGCTGCAACGGTCATACGTGGGAGAAATGGTCATCAGTTACTTTTTTCAGTGCCGTGGTAACAAAAAGATTTGGTGAAAGATAAAAAGGGCAGGGGAGAGGGGACAAACCCGCCACCCCCCCCCCCAAAGGAATAGAAAATATGAACAAGAGATTCTCTTTTACTACCAATAAAAATCTGCAGCTTCTTGTCGTCTTTCTGGACCAGGTGAAAAACATATAGCATGGCAGCTCCCCGCGCCCCCCCCCCTTTAAAAGCATGGAGCCCATGCAGGATATTCTCAGGGTCTTTGCGCCCTCTACTGGGGAAGAAAAAAAGCTGCAATTCCCTCATTTTTCAATTTTGCAGTCAGAACGCCTCCCCCAAACAATAAATAAGTAAAATGAAAATATTTGGGGGGGGGGAGAATAAATAAATAAAAGTGCTCCCCTCTCTCTGTGAGGGAGGGCAATTCTTCATAGCCAGCAAATAGCTTTGGAGCTATTCTCCAAGGCGCCTGAAGGCAGGACAAGAAGCAACGGGTGGAAACTGATCAAGGAGAGAAGCAACCTAGAACGAAGGAGAAACTTCCTGACAGTTAGAACAATTAACCAGTGGAACAACCTGCCTCCAGAAGCGGTGAATGCTCCAACACTGGAAGTCTGAAATGGTGTTAGGGTTCCTGCCTGAGCAGGGGGTTGGACTAGATGACCTCCAAGGTCCCTTCCAACTATATTATTATTATTATTATTATTATTATTATTATTATTATTATTATTATTATTATTATTATTATTATTATTATTATTCCAGCTAATCCAGGGGTGTCAAACTCAATTTCATTGAGGGCTGCATCAGCATTGCAGTTGCCCTCAGGGGGCCGTGTGAGTGTGGCCAGAGTGGGTGCGGCCTACTGGGTGGGCATGGATGGAGTGGATGTGGCCAGCTCTACACCGTTCGCGTCAAGAGCACCTGTGGGGGCCTGGGCAAAAGTGGGACAGATCTGAGGGTCTCTGGCAGAAGGGGGTGGGACCGGGGCAAGTGCCAAGGCATGGTCCACTGGAGGACCCTCACTGTTCCTCTCAGGCCATGCGGGGGGGGGGGGGGCTTATGGAGCTAAGACTGAATGCGTTTCAGCATAGATGGCCACAACAAAATTGTAAATTGGCTCCCGGCCGGCTGGCCTGGGCCAGGGCCAAGGCAGCGGGGGCCGTTCCCTCACTGTTTCCAGGATGGCTTCGCGGGCCACACGAAACCACTTTGCGGGCTGCATCCGGCCCCCTCCCCGGGCCTTGTGTTTGACATGTCTGAGCTAATCACAATTTCTCACCTCCATGTTTCAGCATGCCGTGCAATTCTCAAATGATTTGCAATTTAGCACCCTGTGCAATTCTCAACGCTGGCTCAGAGCCCAAGAACCCCAGGGTAATACAGGTAGTCTTCGACTTCCGATCACAAATTGAGCCCAAAACGTCTGTTGTTCAGCGAGGCATTTAAGTGAATTTTGCCCCACTTTATGACCTGTCCTGCCCGAGTGGTTAAGTGAATCACAGGCGGTGGCTCAGTTAGTAGCAGGGTTGTTAAACGAATCCGGCTTCCCCATTGACTTCTCAGGCTTCTCAGAAGGCCGCAAAAGGGGATCACGTGACCCCCCGGAGACACTGCAACCGTCACATATCTGAGTCAAGTTGCCAAGCGTCTGAATTTTGATCACGTGACCATGGGGAGAGATGCAAGGGTCGTAAGTGAAG